TGATCAGTAATGCCCCAATCACACATGAACCCCTGACCCTTAGGCCTAGATCCACACATTGCACAATTTTTGAAAAGGCACCCTTGCTTTTCAAAAATATTTGATAAATACCAAGGAGCAGATTTCAAACAATTCATCCAGTTTCAATATATAAGTACAGCCCCCCCCCTCCTTTATGGTACCCCTGACCCTGGGGCCTTGAAATTCACAATTCTGGAAGATTAGGACCCTTACTCATCATAACTACATAGGTAGTTCATCTGCTTAATACCAAGGAGCAGAGAAGAAAACTTTCAAAGATTTAGTGTATTTTTATTGTATAATCAATAAAGCCCCACCCTATCACTAGAATCCCTGACCCTGGGGCCATAAAATTCACAATTTTGGAAGAGGCACTCTTGCTCATCATAACTATGCACTTATTTTGTTTATTTAATACCCAGAAGCAGAGAAGAAGATTTTCAAAGAATTCATGTATTTTCACTATATAATCTAAAGAGCCCCCCCCCCTACACCAGAACCCCTGACCCTGGGGCCATCGAATTCACAATTTTGGTAGAACCACTCTTGCTCATCATAACAAAGCACTTAGTTAGTTAATTCAATACCCAGGAGCAGAGAAGAATATTTTCAAAGAATTCATGTAATTTCACTATATAATCTATAGAGCCCCCCCCCCCCTTACACCAGCACCCCTGACCCTGGGGCCATAAAATTCACAATTTTGGTAGAGGCACTCTTGCTCATCATAACTATGCACTTAGTTAGTTTATTTAATACCCAGGAGCAGAGAAGAAGATTTTCAAAGAATTCATGAAATTTCACTATATAATCTATAGAGCCCCGCCCTAACACCAGAACCCCTGACCCTGGGGCCATAAAATTCACAATTTTGGTAGAGGCACTCTTGCTCATCATAACTATGCACTTAGTTAGTTTATTTAATACCCAGGAGCAGAGAAGAAGATTTTCATAGAATTTATGTATTTTCACTATATAATCTATAGAGCCCCACCCTAACACCAGAACCCCTGACCCCGGGGCCATGAATTTCACAATTTTGGTAGAGGACTCAATGCTGATTACAATCATGCAAACAGTTTGACTGCTTGATGTCCAGGAGTAAAGAAGAAGATTTTTAAAGATTGCACTAATTTTAGTGGTTTTTGCCCCACCCCCCAGGCCCCAGGGGGGCAGGGCCCATGAAATTCACAATTTTTGTTCCCCTTCACCCATAGATGCTATATGCCAAATTTGGTTGAAATTGGTTCAGTGGTTTCAGAGAAGAAGCTGAAAATGTTCAAATGTTAACGCACGACGCACGACGCACGACGAACGACGAACGACGACGGACGAAAAGTGATAGCAATAGGTCACCTGAGTTTACTCAGGTGACCTAAAAATTCAAAAATTGGCCTATTCCCCGTCTTCTCTGTGATCTCTTAATATTCTTATTTTCAGAACCAAGACTCATTTTGTGACAACAGCTTTTTATGGATAAACTGTTGGATCATTCTGAAAGACACCAAAAATGGGGGGCCAAATAATGGTCTTACCCTATCTTGTCCTCTCAATCTTCTATACATGAAGATGCTTACATGTCAATAAGACTAAACATTATAAGCATTCTTGTTCTAGGAACTGTTCCCTTTATTTTCCTACTGTAAAACTTTAATCCACCATGGAGACCCAACCCTACCCCTGGGGATTATGATTTGACCATACAGTCAAACCTGTATTAAGCAGTCACCTACGGGATCCATCAAAAGTGACCTTTATAGAGAGGTGACCTTTGGATAGAGGTTCATCTTTTTTAAAGGAATTTATATGTCAGTTTTGTGTATATATATATTATGTATTTCACAACAAAATTTATTAGAAAGATAGGTATTGGACATTAGTGATCTCACTTACGTTGTTATATTTTATTCAGTAGATGCATTACTTTTAAGGATAAATTACTAAATTTAATGAATCCAAAAAAAAAAATAAATAAATAAATAAAATACTTGTATATTGAATCTTACACTTACAGGGTGTTGCATTATCCCCCATCAAAACAACATTTTTTTCTTGTGTAAGGACATGAAGGAATAAATAAAATCGGACAATTTTTTTCCATCTACACTTGATTAAAAAAATTAACCTCTGTACATTTTTTTTTAAATACATGTACATGATTTGTTGTATAATAAACTCTCAGACTACTCTCAGTTGATTAACAGGTGTACAGGTGTCCTGAGCAATGAAGCGTTACTAATCCCTAACGGTCGTTTCTTTTGTGAAATTCACAACATACCCAAGCCACAATGTGTAGATAAACCTTTATTATGGCTTCAACAAATGATGCAAGTTTTCAGGTGTGAAAATTAAAATGCCTATCAAGCGTACGTAGTACATTTATAACTCTCAGAGCATGCAGAGTTGGGAGCGATATTGACAGTGACTGTGCGTAAATGGTAAACAAAAATATCATATTCATTAATAGATGTTTTTAACGTTGATCTTTATTAAAACTTGATTAAGAATCCAGAAGATATAAAACACTGATAATCAGGTATCGATACTCGGTAATAATATTAATTTTTTTTCCCGTTAACTTTTTTCGTCATAAGCCTAGCTTGTAAGAGTTATGTAAAATATAGGCTAGAAGCAGTAAGTTTGTAAAATGAACCATATGCTTATCCAGTAATATAATTGGCTTTCAATATAGTCCAATTCTTAATTTTTGTTCATGATCCCGCAACACTTGACTGATTATTTACATTAGTTACAAAAATTGGGAATCAGATCAGGTCCCGTGATTGGACAAAATGGCCGATAAAGACAGGGAAAAGTGGCAATTTCGTTTGAACTTTGATGACCGCTGACCACGTTACGCAGGTGACCGCTTAATAGAGTTACTTTAAATAGGAAATTTCATTGGGAGGAAATAAAATGACCCATAGGACAAGTGACAGCTGGATAGAGGTGACCGCTATGACAAGTTTGACTGTATTTAGTTCTACACTACCTGAGGATGCTTCTATATAAATATCACTATTCATGGCTTTGCTTTTCTTGAGAACATTATTAAAAATATATTTTAATGTAATAATTGGATCACCCATTATGGCCCCTCCCTAAGCCTGGGGGTTATGATTTGAACAAACTAGAATCTACACTACCTGAGGATGCTCCAATGTAAATATCACTAATCATGGCTTTGCAGTACCTGAGAAGGAGATTTCAAAAGATTCCCTACATATTCCTATGTACAACTTTGATGCCCCATTTTGGCCCCATCCTACCTCCAGGGGTCATGATTTGAAAAAACTTGAATCAACACACCTGATGATGATTTCACATGAGTTTAATCTTTTCAACATAAAGGCTGTACCAAACGTTTTGGTCACCAAGTTTAACCCACGTATAAAGTGGTTAAGGAAATAACTCATGAAATACAGTCAAACCTGTATTAAGCAGTCACCTACGGGATCCATCAAAAGTTACCTTTATAGAGAGGTGACCTTTGGATAGAGGTTCATCTTTTTTAAAGGAATTTTTATCATGTTAAGTTTTGTGTTTAAATATTATGTATTTCACTACAAAATATACAAGAAATTACAGTCAAACCTGTTTTAAGAGGCCACTCGTGGGAGAATGACAAATTGGCCACATAAGACAGGTGGCCACTTATTCCAGGTTTCAATCCAATGAACAAAAAATTGTGACCACAGTTGGGTATTTCTTTTCACACGTATCCAAATCAAATTTCAAAACATTTAAAAAGTTAAGAAAATTTTAATCAAATGAAATCCCTTTTACATTTAATTTAACATGAATTTCTGAAAGAAATATGTTGTTGTTTTTTTGTGTGTGCGTTGGTAATTTAATTTTTACAGGAAATCATAAAATGTTCTAATAACTTAGCATTTCCCTGATACTGTGTAAATTTTTTTTTTAGTTTTCTAGATATATATTTATTTATTTAATATAAAAGATTAAAACGTGAGACTGACCGTTTGACTTGATAACCGCAGGCGAAATTGAATTGTAATTAATGTAGTCTATTGGGTTTATGTCATGAAAATATTCAACAACTTAATTTGTATATTAACAATAAATCATTTAATCATATTAATTAAATCCTGACAGAATTCAAATTACACCTGCAATTATTGGTCATTAACTCATTATCAGCTGTTCATGTTTGGTCCAATTTTTAATTTTTTGTTCACGATCCCCCAACACTTGACTGATTATTTACATTAGTAACAAAAATTGGGAATCAGCTGACTTCATATCAGATCACGTGATTGGACAAAATGGCCACCCAAGACAGGGAAAAAGTGGCGATTTCGTTTTAAATTTGATGACCGCTGACCGCGTTACGCAGGTGACCGCTTAATAGAGTTACTTTATATAGAAAATTTCATTGGGAGGAAATAAAATGACCGCATAGTACAAGTGACCGCTGGATAGAGGTGACCGCTATGACAAGTTTGACTGTATTGGAGTTACATACTAGATGATGATGTTTGCCAGGAATTATTCACAACACCTTTATGGTGGCATACAGCAAACACAAGAATAAAGGCCATCTTATCATTAGATCTAAATTAAAATCAAATGAAGTTCAAAGGAATTGATTGATTTATGCATACAGTGGACCCCTGATGATGGCAAGCCGTATCACAATTATTAAACGACATGTGCTATTAATACTGCCGAAACACTCTTAATTAATTAAATTAGCAAATGTGCAACTGACCAAGTGCTTCTTTAAAAGTGTCCGGTTCTAATAAGTTTAAGACATGTCTGGATGTTACATGTAAGATGCCATAGTTCTTTTTGCACTTAAGTAGCATATAAAGATATGCTAGGAGCATATAAATAGCTGAACACTCTTAGATTTATTTACATTTTTAAATAAGGTTAAAAACAGGCAACACATGTGTTCCTTAATTGGAACTCTCTACTACTTTTATCCATTGTTTGTACTGCATAACAATTCTTACTTTTGTTTCCATACAGAGGATTCCAAGAGAATTTGGATAAAATGCTGAGCGTCTTGCCTGACCAATTAGCTCTGCTCCAACTTGCCCCATAATTTTTCCTCCAACAAGTTCTTCAATATTCCTTGTATCTTGTTTAAGTGGGGCTTTTTTTACCTAAAATATAAGGGAAACAAATCTTAATATTGTTAAAGTCATTTCACAAGTTGTAATGCTTGGGAAAAACTTTGTGCTAATTAACATTTGTGTCAAATTGGCTGCGGTGTTTTCTTCCATTGAAGTAAAGTGTACAACAACTGAAGATACACTGATGGGCGTAACCAAAAAAACTGTGCTGTGTAAATGGGCGGAGCCAGCAAAAACTGTGCTGTGTAAATAAATAATTGAACATCAAGTCAATTTCAACAATTTAAATTTTTATTAATTTGAATTTACACACTCAATAAAATGTGTTTTTCAAAATATTAAGACAATACTTTTGTCAATGAAATAAATTAAAGTTTGTTTTTTTTAAATCACAACACACAGTCATACATCCGACAATATAGGGTACACTGATACAAAATGAAAGTGCAGTTGTTAAATGTACTGCCACCACCGGTCTGACACAAAACTTCCACTTTATCAGGAATGTTAATTTCATTGGATGTTAATATATCCATGAGAGGTCCAGGCGCATCCTTGGGTTCTATCTTTGGTAATTTAGGTTCTGGAGGATTCAAAACTTTGGACACTGTGCATGCTACAGTACAGGCCACAAGTTTTCCGCAAGGCTCGGTGGAAAAAACACCGTGTGAAAAGCTCTGTGTTACACCGTGTACACGGTGTAGCACGTAGCATGGTGTGTGTGGATTTGAAATATACAGGTAGGCACACGGTGCCGCACCGTGTCTAGAAAAATCCAGTTAGTGCCCTCCGTGTCGCACCGTGTCCAGTAAATTTCGTTCGCCCAGAAAATTCTCCTCCAAGCTGCACCGTGTAAATAGTATTACAGACAAAATTGTTTGTTACTGATGACAAATTTGATAATAGATTTTGATGACAATTTATAACTTTGGTTATGTATATATAAAAATCGTTTTTATTCTACCAGATATTGAACTTCGAATGGCACGCATGATAGGCCCTATTCAGATTAGATATCGGTAAAAAAAACTAAATGATTTTCATTTGAATTAACTATGTATCTAGAAATTTATATTTAAGAAAAATTTTTCATCCATGTCACAAAATCAAAATTATGAATTTATTTCAAATGAATGATTTAATCTCATGTTCACGTAACAAAGGAAGACAATATATGGCATCGAGCTGTTTTCGTGTCACATACACTGTATACATAGTACTTTATAAAATTAAATCGGAGCTGTATTTATGTTCATGGTTTTAACATGTACAGTACTAGTGTACGATCCAAGCATTACAATGTATATTCCTTAATAAGATAAATTCATTTTGTTCATCTTGAATTTTTCTGAATGTGAATGAGAAAATCGTCAGCAGAAACATGAAATTAATGCAATAATTTCAAAGCGTATTTCTCGTAACAGCAAACATTATTTTCATAGAGTAGTATTCAGTACGTTATGTTTTTAAAATCCTTTCAGTGTAAGTAGTTATTTTAATTTGTTTGTCGTTTCTTGTAAAGTGTATAAAAAGCTATACCAGAGAGAGAGAGAGAGAGAGAGAGAGAGAGAGACTCTCATACAACCCCCTTTTAACATATAGACTTTTTTTTTTTAATTCTTCGTTTTATTTAAGTTACGGAGGTCACAACTAATCATTCTATAATTCTATTTAATCGCCACAACTTTTGTTTATATTTAACTCATTTAATGCAATTAATTTGTTCTCTGTATATGCTGTACGCACAAAATTCTCGTGAATCACCTGCCAATCAAAATCCCACGCTAGGTGACCTTGAAAGTCTGTTTACGCGGAAAGAATTTCTCTTGTGATTTGAAACAATCTTATGGTCAGTTCCGAGTTCACACCTGTTCAAAAATATATTGGGTCTCTGCCGGTGGGCCAGGGGCGCCGTATGTTTATCACACCTTTCAAATTCTTTAGCTCTTACCACAGCAAGTGTATACATGTAACACACTCAACTGATATGTGAAATTCATCTTCCAGGTTTCACTACAACAACAATTATAAACTCACATGTACTTGTTAACTTATTTATCTTTTTTCAGACACAAATAAGAATGTATCCCGTAGATTAACATTTAAAAAAAAACATAACATAAATTTGCAGACTTCTGATAAAGTTTTTACTAGCTGATTTGTATCGCTTTTTTAGAAAGGGGGGATTTTTAAAAATTGCTAAATATCTACATGTATATGTTTTCTCAAACCGTTTTTTTTTCTTTTCACACGATATATTTCAGAATGAAGTAATATTCGTACTGAAGTTAGCACATTTCATTTGCCAAAAATTCGGCTGTGATTTTTGTATTCAGCGTGTTTACTAAGTTTATCACTATAATTTCAATTAATGAAATTATTCAGATTATTATCTCTGCCTGTTCAGTGGATTTTCGAGTTTACCGCATTTAATATTTATCTCCATATTTTACATAATTACAGATTTTTAGTGTTAGTCTCACTGTAATAATCCTCATCTGAACATGCTGAACCTATCCAATGATTCACCGAGTATCGGTATCAAAGAGAAGAATTAATGTGCGAGTCTGATACCTTTTTTTTTAATTTAATCTACACACAGTAAATGTACATTAAATTTCTTATAAAATATTTCATCACTCATCTGATATGTAATACATAGGGAAAAACGATCTTGTATCAACGATTAAATTAAACACAGTTAAAATCAAATCGAAAGTAGAGACAATCAAGTAATTCATTTATGAAAGCGTGTTTCCTCTTTATGTAATATGATAATAGTCTATTGAACTTTTTATGACTTATATAATTAGTATTTAACTTGAAACGTGACTGTATATTTTTTGCCGGTAACCAGTACATTGTTATTAAGTTTAAAGGCATCTTATTAGTTTAATTATCTGTATGCGATAAATTACCAATATTGATTTATTGAAAAAGTACAACAAATATTTCGAAAGAAAGTTGATTTAAATTAATTAAATAAAAGCAATGAAAATGTTTAAAATATTTATCATCAGAACTGTGACACATCGTGTTACACGGTGCACAGAAACGCTGACTTCAGAGACGCCGACAAGGTTCGAGGTCCACTCTAAAGCGTGGACTTGCGGTCCACGGGGCCCCGTGTTTTTTGCGGAAAACTCTTGGCCTGTACTGTATCTCTGCATTTCAATGTTTATAGGCCCGTACTCCCACTTCTGACCGATGCCCTGTTCGTCGACTCTGTTTTGATAGAATGCTGTTGCATATGTTCTCTTCCCTGAATGGTTTGTATAGTTTCCCTTTAGACATGCCTTTTCGCAGATGACCTTCATAATCATCATTGATTTTAATATAACACCCATTAACTGCGAGCCATAACGAGGGGACAAGTCTGCCAGTGGTCAGCGGTAAAACTATACTTCATTTCCCAGAGCATCTAGGTGTACTTTAAAATCAGCCATGCAGCGCTCCCCTGAAAAAAAATTGAAACATAAATTAACTCTTTACATAAACCAAAATTTTTAGATCTACACAGAAATTAAAGGCACAATCTTTGAATACAATACAAATGGGGAGGGGACCCTAGCCATCCCCCTTTTTTTGCTAAAATAGACATAATACAGTCATTGAAAATTTTACATTTTTTGTTGGTATAGCCCCCCCCTTCAATTTGCTTCCAACGCACATGCAATATAAATAGGGAACTCAAAATTGACAATATTTTCAAAATAGACATGTCTCTGGTTAAATAGGCCTAAATATATGTAAACTGAAAGAAATTGAGAGGGGGAAGAGGACTTACCGGGCTGATAGTAGTGCCGTATATTTGCTTGTTGTGTAGTACTTTGTGAGCTAGTCCTCCCTTGAAGGTCTGTTGATCTGCCTGTGAATTCAATGTATTTCCCCCTATTATCCTCACCGAGAAAAAAATGGTCACACTGGAGGAAATGATGTTTGTCATGGCCACGTAATCCCAAAAACTTGCAATTATCCAATATTTTATGGAACCCGCAAATCTTGGATCTGCAGCATTGAGAAAGTTCTTGTCATAAATGTCTTGTTCCCGTAGATACCTTAAAATCCCACAGCTAATGTAGTTCAATGTTTTCGTGGGGTATTCATTGCCATCTTTTCTACCTACTCTCATAATGAATCTTCTTAAGTAAAAGTTCAGCTGCATTGCGTCCATTGTTTCGGTTTCTGGTATTAAGAGTTCTTGCCCTTGACATTGCACATTTTGTTCACGCCACCAGCTTTCAAAAATGTTATATGACCAACGTGTATTTTTTTTCCGTGTTGCGGTTTTCTTAACTCTCTATCAACGCTTGAATTTCCTCTTTGTCAACTTAAAAAGCAAAAAACGTTTTTTCAAATTTTGTACTTTTCACATCCATGTCACATGTGTCACGATTCTCACGATTAACTCCACCATTCTCTGACTCGATCTCAAGGCCCAAGTCAAAGTCCATTAGATTCTCTAGGTCTGCATCAAAATCCATGTAATAATCCTCTAGTTTAATTTCTCCAAAACAATAGTTCATTTCGATTTCTTCACAGGCCTGAGATAAAATGAAGTCCTCATCGTCGTGATCATTAGATAAGAAATCAAGAAACGACATTCTCTACTCTTGAAACTCGATGGAAAAATGCGCATTAGAAAAAATACTGGCGGGAAGGAAAGAGCATGCACATAATCACCTGACAAACCTAGATTTTGTATTGGTCTAATCAAAAACCATGCATTGATCACCGGTTATTAATGTTTAGATTGACCATGATACAAGAAAGGTATTGAATATTTATTATGGTGTATCCTGTTTTATTTGGACGAAGGGGGACACTCTTGCTTTGCACTCATCACCGCCCTTCGTCCAAGTAAAATTAGGCTACACCATACTAAATACATACAATAAATATTATATATATCATATTAGAAATTTCTATTCTTACAATGATTGATTATTCAAAAATAAGGCCAACAATTTTTTATTTATTGTTTTACGGGAATTTTTTTTTTTTTTAATTGAATCGGGGGTCAAATAAAAATAAATATAAAATCTTCAAATTCAAACAGTTGGTCAGAAAAATAAAAGTAAATCAAAAATTGTAACAATTGTTTTTATTTTTTGAATTAAGGATGGAAATGTTTTTTCACCTTATTTTGGCAAAAAAGGGTATTATTTGAAAAAATTAATGCATGCAAAACAATTATATCATATTTTTTTTTAGCATACAATAAACTATAAAATTTGAGGATTTATGAGAAGCTAACATATGGCAAGAATATAGTAAGGCTTTTAATAGATTGGTTAAATTATTTCACAAGTTAGACTAATCAAAAAAAAATCTGAGTACCTTTTTCAATGCAATTCAAATTAATATACACATAGGTAGATAAAATATATCTTGTATTTCTCTTGAAAACATATTCAAATATCCACAACTTTTGACTAAAAAAAAACAGGTCATATTTGTATGGGAGTATCATCTGCAGCTTTGTTTTTCCCTATTGGTAATTTTTTCTGGTTAAGGAAGTTGTTATTACTCAGTAATTTGTTACACGACAAGCAAAATTTCATTTTGAATCGTGATATGTTTGATTAATATACGAAGGAGTGAAAGTTGTGACTCGAATTTCCTCAGTCACACCACTTTCTGCAGTACACGTTCAGTCGTTTCTAGTAAAATAAAATATGACTGTTTATTACTTAATTATTTTAACAATTAAATTCCCCTTTATCCAAGGACACCTTGTACCAAGTTTGGTCAAAACTGGCTTCGTGGTTCTTGAGAAGAATTAAGTCGAAAGTGTGAAAAGTTTACAGAGGGACAGCTTAACAGACGAACAGGTAGTTGGACAAAATGTGATCAGAAAAGCTCACTTTTGCATTCGGCTCACTTAAGCTCAAGTGAGCTAAAAAGTACAAAGGTTACTTTTTTTCATTTTTGATGGAATGACAGATGGATAGATTTCTAAGACACTGAGTAATTGGAAAAGCTTACTTGAGTTTTCAGCTCAGTTGAGCTAAAATGCATGATTCTGTATACTGTAGAAGCACAAATTTTTGTGGGCATAAAATTTGTTTTGTCATCAAAAATAATTTCAAGTGCATTTAATTTCAATGTTTAAAATTAAGCCTATTCAACATGTTCAATATATAGTCATATAAAATTTATTGTGGGATTTAATTTGTTAACAAAAAATTTAATCCCCCAAGAATATTTGAGCTTTTACAGTAAGTATCAACAAAATTACCTCTGTTATAAACAAGAGTTCTTCCTCTCTTGATTGAGAATAAAAACGGTAGATAATATCAGGTCTGTTCCTCACCAAACATTTGTTAAATGTAAATGAAGCCATAGGTAATTCACTGAAAGGAAAAAAAACAGATATTCAAATGGTGTCTTTAAGTAAGGCAAAGTCCCATATCAAACTGGATAATCTAAAAGTGTACATTCAAAGACGCAACATTTTTGCAATTTTGATCTGATAGGGCTCACAGTTACTTGGGAATAGATTTATCCAAAACTTTAAACTAGTCGCTCATCCAGAAAATATTTTTCAAATGCAGCATCTTAAGCAAGTTTCATCTATTGTAGCATTGAATATTGAATATTTGGTTCAGGTAGGCCCTGTGGTTTCTTACAACTAAAGAAACATCCTAATCTTTAACTTGTTATTGCATCCAGAAAATGTATGTCAGATCCAGCAGCTGAAACAATCCTGGAAGTATGCTTCCTCAGATGTATCATCCATGCAAATTTGGTCAACATAAGGCTTACAGTTACTTGGAAATGGGACTTGTGTAGTTGTGGCCATTTTCAGACTTTATTGAAAGGTATTTGCAGTATAAAAGAGATGAAAACAACACCAACTATGCATTTGACTTTATTTTGCGACTCCCCCTGCGATGTGCTTTCCCATAAACGACTCCCTCCTACGTAACCGTCACTGTCTGAGGAGAAAATGTCTTAATTATTAATTTTTATAAAGTCTAGTCAAGTTTAAGTTGTTGCATTAAAAAGATTAAAGTTTTCTATCACTGTTTTAACTGTGAAAATCCCTACATAAGCTGTAGATTGTACAAATCATGCATGTGTTTACCATCCGATCAACGTAAATATGAAAACTGTCAAATAGTTTCGAAGTGTTTGAGAAAACTAGACGTATATGACAGCCAGACAAAAGACCAAAATAAAGCTTAACTATTGCCATCTTCCGTTGGATATTTGTTTATTGTAAATACATCTTATACAGTGGCTGGAACGTTATTGTTGACAAACCAATCGTGTAGAATCGTTCGTGTATTGTGAGCGATCGTTCGTGTAACGTGCAAGATCATTCGTGTATCAGACTCAATCGTGCGCTTTTTTAATCGTGCATTTAGAATCGTGTAAATTTCGTTTTGTATGTTTTAACCTGAATGTTATTTCTAAAATAAGCATTTATTTAATAAAATCAAAATAAAATGAAAAAGCGCAATTTACATAATAGAATGCAGAACGAACTTATTATTGCTCGTAAACAAGCAATAAAGTAAGTCGTACAATATTAAGTTCTCGTCAAATAGCGCGATCAATATTGTGATAAACCGTACTTAGATCTCTTCCTAAATGCCTTTCTGAAAAATCTGATTTAATTATTATTTACTTCTTATTGTGGTCAAGATAATCTTGAAATCAATTCATTGAAAATAAATATTTTTTTTTACAAAGAAATAAACATTTCTTAATTAATGCTTACATAGCTACATGTAGTTAGTTGACAAATATACATGCTCACTGCATGACTTTCGGGAGTTTTGATTATGTGTGTTTATCTCTTGAACTTATTTGTAACTAATTAATTTTAAATTTCTGCAAATAAAAAAGTTGAATAATTAGCAAGTTTATCAGACATTGAATAAATCCCCCTTTCTGCATATCATGATATCCAATTCAATCAAATTATACGACCCACATACATTTACATCGTCTAATAGAATGAACAAAATCCGTTTTCTATTGGAGGATTAATTTTTAATCTGAAATATTAAGTCTTGCATATATTTAGTTACAGAAATATCATTTTCCATTTTTTTTTCAAAGTCTATGAAATAATATTAATTGAAATCTTAAATAAGTATTAAGCTTTATTTCGTTTTGAAAATATTAATTCCTAAATATTTTGAACCATTTTGAGTGAAGAAACGTGTGTTTGCGTTAACAAACGTGCAAGATCGTGTAACGTGTAGAATCATGAACGTGAAAGATCGTTCGTGTAACAGGTTTAATCGTGCGTTAATCGTGCGGAATCGTTCGTTTCACGTGATCCTTCGTGTAAGTTGTCAACAATAACGTTCCAGCCACTGTAAATACCGAAAAAAAGACATGACCCACATCTCTTCCGACTCCAAAGCGGTGAAAATCTACTCCTCCATACGTTTAAAACGTATGGTTAAGAATTTGAGCATGAAAAGGAGATAGAAGGATAAAAATATACCCTCTTATACAATCACACGTTTTCCAAACGATGTTTTACTGGATTTTATTGGGAACTTTTATTACGTTGCCCTCGGTATTATGATATTTTACCGCAACAAAGTAATCATCGTAATAACGGGGTTCTACTGTATCATTGTATTTACATTAGGCAGTAATTAAAGAACAACTGAACATTGAATGTATATTTAAACAATAATGAAGCTAATGTTATATAAAATGCCAGCCTTTAATGAATGCAAATATCAAGAAGGCTTGACCTTAACTTCAAAACAAACAGCAGTTGCAGACAACGGTTTACATTAATCTTAAAGTGACAGATAAAGGAAAGCCTACAAAATTTTCTGCAGTGGGCTAGATAATTAATCCCAAAGGATTTATTGTACCTCTCTCATCATTTTCTTCTGAAGTTACAATAAGAACTTTTTCAATAGAATTGGGTTTTTATACAACTACCTTAAATATTAATAATAATCTTGAATGTACATAAAGGGAAGAAAAGTAAAAATAAAAAAAATCTATCTCCTATAATGAATTTCTTGTTTTTAGAATTCAATGAAATTATAACTATTTAAACAAAAAAAGTATAAACAATTATATTTAAATCCACATTTCAGAGTGTTCATAACATTCCAAATTGACTTTTAAAAACTTCAAAACAAACTTCATTTGCAGACAGAGGTGGTAATTCATCTCAATGTGACAGATAAAGATGATGCTTTGGATTTTCTTCAGGAGGAAAACTAATTAATCCCAAGGGACTGCTAGCAGCATTCAGTTTACAATGGGAACATCCTCTAATCAGAAGTTATCTCTCTTTGCCAATGCATTCTTATATAAAGTTAAGGAATCTACCCCACCACCCCAGCTCCAAAACAGGGGACAAAAAGAAACAAACTTAGCACTTAAATATGTTTTTCTGCCCATTGAACTACCATACCGAATTTGATCTTAATTGAGCAACCATAAAAAAAGTTATTAGGTATAAACAGAAAATTTGTGGATGTAAGAATGACAGACAGACGGACAGACAGATGATTACTATAGGGCACATGCAAATCCTTGCGGGGCCCTAACAAACTTGCAATCCGTTCTACAAAGGATACTTTATGGCAAGTTTGGTTGAAATTACCTCAGTGGTTCTTGAGAAGAAAATGAAAATGAGAAATGATTACAACTACGACTTTGCTAACAAGGAAGACAGACAACAGACAAATATTGATCAGAAAAGCTCACTTGATCCTTTGGCTCAGGTGAGCTAAAAAGCTCATTTGAGCTTTATAAAGCTTACTTGAGCTATCAGTTCAAGTGAGGAAAAAAGGGCAGGTAAAATTTGTTGCAAACACTTGATTAAAATTAACAGTTTACTAACCCTTCATCTAAAAAGAATATCTTTCCAAAAACTTTACAATAATTCTGGAAATAAAATTCATTGGCGTAAACAAGCTCTGCATCTTTCTGAAGACACCGTGAATCACTATGCCCTCCTCTAGGTCTTGTCTTTTTTGAGCCTCTTGTCTTCTTTGTCTCTTCCACTTTTACTTTGGAATCAAAAGATAATGGTTGACTCAGAACCATTTTGAGCAGTAGAAGAGTTTCTAGCGCAAATTTTCTAGCTGCTGAATTGAACAATACAGCAGCCTCTAGTGCAAATTTCCCAACAGCTGAATCCAGTTCTTTACAAAATCTGAACAAAAAGACATATTTTCATTTAACTTTGGTAGAAACATGTTACTGTGCATGTAGACCAATATACAGAAAAGTAATCAAATACAATGTAATAGAACAAAAATAATTCACTAACAAATTATAGAAATTATCACAATTTATTGAAATTATTACTGTGTAAATAGTTGGTGTCAATATTAGTAGGCAGGCAAAATTTCATTTGTACATGAAGTTTACAAATAGAGTATATTCTAAGGGTAACAGTATACAGTTAAAGTATATCATTGGAGGAGTTAGCAAGATTCCACTTCCCTACGGCCAAGACTATTTCCTGAGGATTAAAGACCTGGTTGAGGAGAATGAAACCTTGCTAACTCCCTCATGTGTAATTTCTAACTGTTTTTATACATGTTAAAATATGCAAAAGTAAACAAGAGGCCCAGGGGCCACATCGCTCACCTAAGCACATTGGCTAGGAACACTCACAAATCAGATCAGAACTTGAAATCTGTACCTAAGTGTGTGTGGGGGGGGGGGGGGGGGCTTGAATTTTAAGACTTATTGAGCATGCCTTCATATCAATACAGCATATGACTTCTTGATAAAAAGATTTTTTAAAACATTTTGTTTCATATCCCTTACAGAAAAAACTAATAGAAACTAATAAGTGTTTTATAATCCACTTAGAAGCAATTTATAAGTCACTTATAAATTTTGAAATTTACTTATAAGTGTACTATAAGTCAAAGTAAGTATAAGTGAGGAACGGATTTCGTTAATACTTCACTCATAAGTAAAGATGAGCTACATATCAGTGAATGTTTCACTTATACCTCACTTATAAGTGAAGATCAGTATGGTATGAGCAAGTATAAGTGTGGACTTAGAATTTTTACCCTATACTAGACTTCTCTCAAGGAGCACTATGGGTATTCAAGGTAGCCAATCAGAAAGTTTGTCTCTGCAGAGATCAGCAACAAGAATTTGAAACCAAGTTTGTGTATCAGAATGTCAGACTGCTCTGCCCAACGACACCTCGGCCCAACGATACCTCGGCCCATTGACACCTCGGCCACGACGGCTCGGCCCAAATTTAAAGACACCTCGGCTCACATAAAAGACTGCTCGGCCCAAACAAAAATATCTTATTTTAATAAATATTTTTATTATTTATGCTGTTATATATCTATGAAATGCAATAGAAAATTAATTTGGTACATTTGCAATATTCCAAGACGGCAATTTGACGGTAATTAAAGAAAGACAATCCATTAGTAACATCATTATAAGTGCTAATCATTAAACAAACAAGAAGACGCAGTGCATCCTTTCGAGTCTCGAGCGCGTGTCATATGGTTGACTATGAGGAGTTAATTACGAGAAGTCATAATTGGGAGACTTAATCATGTTAATGAAAAGTCCCTTTAAGAAACCATTGTTGATATTTTGTTGAATTGATTTGAAAAAAAATATGAGTTTTTAAAATTAAACAGTAAAATATAAATATATCAAAAATAAACCAATCAATAATAAAATCTTTTGGATCAGGACATAAACTTCTGTGCAGACCTATTGGTATTCAACTGTACAATGCACAAATGCACTGCAGTAGACACTTTTAGTCAATCAGTCGGGAGAGGGCATCCAAACATTTTTTTTTAAATGGCTAATAAATATATAAATAATGCACATATTGTAATAAACAAAGTCAGTAAATAAATAGACCTGTTACCTCCCAATCAACGGATTGTAATTTGATGTTGTGCTGTGGTTTGTTAGAAAATACTGATCGAAATACTGAAATTATCGTATATTGATATTCATAGTAAACGTATAGTGATTATATACATAGTATATATTTACATTACCATAGAAAATACAAAAAAAATAAAAATAAAAAAATAAAAATTATACTATAATTTAAACAAACTAAATTTAATTTTATTCCTTGGGCCGAGCAGTCTTCGGTATGGGCCGAGGTGTCAATGATTTTGAGCCGACCTGTCAGGGCCGAGGTGTCAAACAGCACGGGCCGAGGTGTCGTTGGGCCGAGTAGTCTGTCTACCCTGTGAAAGGATGTTGGAGATTATAGATTTATTTTGAGTATGCCTTCACATCAGGTACAACAAGTAGGTTCTATTAACATCATCTCTCTATTTTAACTTTCTTTGCCTGAAATTTTGAATCAATTGACTCAGTTGCTTTCAGATTTCATAAATTTGAAGAAGCTTCAAGGTCATTAAATCTTGTTGCCTTTTTGTTCAACATTTTGTTTGTAAACTGAATTAATATGTTAAGTTTGCATCATCAAAGGAATGTCATATAAAAAGGATTTTGTTTCATAAATTTTTTACTTGATTATTTCATCTAAAGTGCAAATACATGTGTATATGTAAAAAATAGCTTTGAACATATCATGCAACCCCTGCATGGTTGGAAGTTCTGTTCTAAATTAAGATCTTACTCTTACTTCACTTGTTGTACTTCACTTATAAGTGACTTATAGATGACTTACAGATGACTAATACTTCATAGAGTATGAAGGGTTAATGCTTGACTTATAAGTCACTTATAGTCACTTATAAGTGACTATACTTGCATAAAGTATAAGTGGCTATTACTGGCTTATAAGTCACTTATAGCCAGTTATAGGTCAAGCAGCTCATTTGCATATAAAATCCTAATGAGTAACTTATTAATCACTTATAAGTTATATGTATCAGTGAAGTGTAAGTCCAGAATAAACAACTAATAAGTAAAAGAATAAATCACTTATAAGTCACTTATCAGAAATTTCTGTAAGGGATATTACTTCGAAATAAATTGAATTTGATTCCCTACTGTTTCCCTCCCTACCTCAAAGGGCCATGATTTGAACAAATTTAAATCTTCAATACATGAGGACACTTACATGTCAATATGACTCAACGTAGCTTTTCTGTTCTTGGGATTTTTTCCTATATTTATTTTGATTCCTCTTTGTCAGTCAGGGGCATGATGGAATCAAGTTAATTTTAAAATAACTTGTTTAGGTTACTTCACTTATAAATAAACAAAACAAGAGATGTTTGTAAAACACTTATGCCCCCCTCTTTCCAAATTGGAATTTTCCAAGTCCAAGGGACATAACTCTGTCAAAAACAAGAGGCCCAGGGAACACAGCGCTCACCTGAGCACACTGGCTTGGAAAAAGCACATATCAGATCAGAAATGAAAGTTTACAGGGGGGAGGAGGGGGCTTGAATTTTAACCCCCCAGGGGTTCATGATTTGAACAAACTAGAGTCTACACTACCTGAAGATGATTCCACTAATCATAGCTTTGAAGTACTTGAAAATATGATTTTAAAAGGTTTCCCTATAAATCCCTATGAAAAACTTTGGTCAGCCATTTTGGCCCCACCCTAACCCCGGGGGTCATGATTTGAACAAACTTGAATCTACACTACCTGAGGATGATTCCACATGAGTTTCATCTTTCCTGGCCCAGTGGTTCTTGAGGAGAAGATTTTTAAAGATTTTTCCTATATATTTCTATGTAAAACTTGGGTCGGCCATTTTGGCCCCACCCTAGCCCCGGGGGTCATGATTTCAACAAACTTGAATCTACACTACCTAAGAATGATTCCACATGAGTTTCATCTTTCCTGGCCCAGTGGTTCTTGAGGAGAAAGTTTTTAAAGATTTTTTCCTATATATTTCTATGTAAAACTTGGGTCAGCCGTTTTGGCCCCACCCTAGCCCCGGGGGTCATGATTTGAACAAACTTGAATCTACACAACCTGAGAATGATTCCACATGAGTTTCATCTTTCCTGGCCCAGTGGTTCTTGAAAAGAATATTTTTAAAGATTTTTCCTACATATTTCTATGTAAAACTTGGGTCATCCATTTTGGCCCCACCCAAGCCCCGGGGGTCATGATTTGAACAAACTTGAATCTTCAAATTTCATCTCAGTATCTTGGTAAGATTATTTTTAAAGATTTTCCTATGTAAAACTTTGATCAGCCATTGTGGCCCCATCCTACCCCCTGGGAGTCATGATTTGAACCAACTAGAATCTTAATTACCTAAGGATGATTCCATATAAATATCACTAATCATGGCTTTTTGAAGTATTTAAAAAGATTTTAAAAGATTTCCTTAAACGGTAAAACTTGGTTATAACAAAGTCACTGGGACCTGTTATTTTACTTTTCTATATCTGTAATTCGTTATAACCATACAAGAAAGTCACTAAATTTATATATCTGGGGTTCCAAGATGATTTCGCTATATCGGTAAATTCACAATATCCGTGTTCATACTAAACGAGTTATGCTGTATAATCTTATAAAAACCTTTGATCAGCCATTTTGGCTCCATAACCCCTGGGGTCATGATTTGAACAAACTTGATTAAAACTATATTACCTTAGTTTCATGTTTCCTGTTTCAATGGTTCTTGAGAAAAAGATTTATAAAAAAAAATCCTATATATTCCTACTTAAAACTTTGATCAACCATTGTGGTCCCACCCTACCCCTGGGGGTTGTGATTTGAACAAATAAATTTTCCACTACCTGAGGATGATTCCTTAAGAATTTCATTTTCCCTGGCCCAGTAATTCTTGAGAAGATTTTAAAAGATTTCCCTACAATTCAGTGTTTTCCCTAAAAACCGCCTGACGGCCAAATTACCGCCTTCGATTGATAACCAGAAGTCTCTGTCAAGACTGAAGCTCTACTGGTTTGAACTTATAGCAAAGGAAGAGAAAGTACTTAAGTAGCTGGGATTTGAAACTTTATAAACAGCATTAAATAGAATAATGATCGTTGATAAAGTCTCTTTATGTTTTTAGTGAAGTCTACTTGTGTGCCAAGTTATACTGAAATCAGACCAAAACTGAAGAAGGAGTAGCATTTTGAAACACTTTTACAGACATTTCTATTTTTAGTAACCACGGCAACATCGTTCATCAAAATTGAAATTCAATAAACAGAATTATATATCTTAAAGTATTCTACTTGTGTGCCAAGTTATACTGAAATCAGACAAAAACTGTAGGAGGTGTAGCATTTTGAAACACTTTTACAGATATTTCTATTTTTAGTAACACGCCAACACCATTCATTGAAATCAAAAACTGATAAACAGAATTATGTATCTTAGTGTATTCTAGTTGTTTGCCAAGTTATACTGAAATCAGACCAAAACTGTAGGAGGAATAGCATTTTGAAAGAATTTCATAGAAATTTCTATTTTTAGTAACCAAGGCAACACCCTTCATCGAAATCAAAAACCGATGCACAGAATTATGTAACTTAGTGTATTCTACTTATGTGCCAAGTGATACTGAAATCAGACAAAAACTGTAGGAGGAGTAGCATTTTGAAAGAATTTCCCAGAAATCTCTATTTTTAGTAACCACGGCAACACCGTTCATCGAAATCAAAAACTGATACACAGAATCATGTATCTTAGTGTATTCTACTTGTTTGGCGACTTATACTGAAATCAGATCAAAACTATAGGAAGAGTAGCATTTTGAAAGAATTTCACAGAAATTTCTATTTTTAGTAACCACGGCAACACCGTTCATCCAAATCAAAAACCGATACTCAGAATTATGTATCTTAATGTAGTCTACTTGTGTGCAAAGTTATACTGAAATCATACCAAAACTGTGGGAGGAGTAGCATTTTGAAAAATTGTTTACAGACAGACAGACAGACGGACAAACGGACGGACGCCGGACGCATTACTATCGCATAAGCTCTTCTGGTCTATGACCAGTAGAGCTAAAAATACCGCATACAAATCAAAATTTCTTGTAAGGTTAACACAGTTCTGTTCATTAACATCAACCATTAGCCTGTAACAACCGATCTTTACCCATTACTTTAAAATAAAGGGAAAACACTGCTACATATTCCTATGTAAAAATTTTTATCAACACTTTTGGCCCCACCCTAACCCTGGGGGTCATGATTTTGTACAAACTTGAATATACACTACCTGAGGATGATTTCACATTTTGAAGAGGGCATGGCCCTTCATTTGAACAAACCTAAATCCCCTTTACCCAAATATACTTTGAAGCAAGTTTGAAATTGGCCCATATATTGGTTCTTGACGAAAAGATGAAAATGTGAAAAGATTACAACAACTACGATGATAGGCAACGGACAAGATCCAAAAAGCTCACTTAGCCTTCGATTACACAACCAAATGTAATACATTTATAGTATATAATAATTAATTAGATGCTTTATGCCAAATTTGGTTGAAATTGGTTGAGTGATTGCAGAGAAGAAGCTGAAAATGTTCAAATGTTAACACACAAAGCATGAAGACCGACAAAAGGGGATAGCAATAGATCACCTGAGTTTACTCAAGTGACCTAAAAATTAAGATTTTAAGGAGCTATTTGAGAAACTTATCATGTATTGCTCTTCTATGTAACCCATGGATCCACAGTTTGAGACGTTTTGGAATATGTGTCTATTATATAATATATATACATGTACCTACATCATGTACATTGTTGATGGAAGTGTATTGATCAGAAAAGAAAACTGATTTTATTATTAATAACTTACTGATTTTCAAAGTCAAATTTTTCGGAATTTATCTCCATCCTTTGAATATCTTTATTAATCTTGCTCGATATCTCATCTTTCTCATCCATTATATCTTTTAAAGAAGCACATCGAATATCTTTAATTTCTTTCATATCATAGGAAAAGGTTAAATCCTCTTCAAGTTGCTTCTTTAAAATGTTAGTCAATTTTATAGGATCAGGACAAAATCCTTCCCTGTTCTTAAAGGCAACTTTCAATTCCCTGATGAAGTTTTCCAAAGGTTCTGGTGTCTTCTGGTAAAAGATGTTTAAGAAAAGGAGATCATTATATTCCCACTGACTTGCTGGATAAGTTGCAGGTTCATTTCTTGCAAGTGGGCTTTCCAAGCAGCTTGACTCTAATTCCTTATCTTCATCACTCAAAATAGTATATTTTAATAAACTCGATGGCCGTTGTCTTTTTCTTCGCTGCGAACTTGAATCACTACAGCTTGGCCAGTCACCTTCCTTAAACAAAAAGAAAAAATGATTTGAACAATTCAGAATCTTCACTACCTCAGATCTTCCATATAAGTTTCAGCTTTTCTGGCCCAGTGGTTCTTAAAACTTTTTGAACCTCAGCCAGAAAAAAAAATCCAAAAATTAATTTTTAATTTGAAATGCATCTAAATGAAGCTTGAAAATGAGATTTTTTCATGCAACAATTTTCATTTTATTCATCTTTATAAGATTCAAGGTTTTTGGAAGTCTTAGAAAAGGTGTTATAAAAGTTGACATTTGTAGCTTATAGAAGAAAAAAAGAAATAATACAGTGTTAGAATCAAAGTACTCAGAAGTACAGAGAGCCGGGCTTATTTACAGAGTAGAATGGATATCTTACATGAACCATATTTGATTGCCCCCATGAGAAAAGGGTCCTTATGGCAATTTTTACACATTTTGAGTTCTTCGTGAATTTTGATAGAGTAAGGTTAAAAGTTGTCAAATATGAATTTTTATAGTCATACGTCTACTCTAAGTAGGTTTTTTTCTTCATTTTTGTCTAAGTTACTTAAACAGGTTCATAATGACGCCATGTTTTTCAACAACGTCAAACGTTTTTAGAGTGAACATATAGTAATTTTGTTTTGTAATTTTACTACGGTAGTTAATAGTTGTATAATGTATTAAATATTTACCAAGTTCAAGTTCAATTTATTCACTCAAACCATATCAATGGTACATGAGGTTCAACAATATATACAATATATACAAAAAATAATATACAAGATACACGTGAAATGATGGAAATGTTCATATAAAGTAACAAAGATAACTATGGAGGACAGACTTTTTCATATACTCTATTTATGTAACAACATAGTCAGCAGATGACAACAATTCTGATAATTTGAAAAAATTTGGACTATTACAATATTTACTGGGAAGATATTTTTTTCTACACACGGAGAAAAATTTACATTCTAAAATGTAGTGATACTCATCAGCTATTTGTCCATTATTACAAAGATTACATAGTCTATCATTTTTGGGAATTCCAAACCATCTACCAGTCTCAACTGGAAGACGATGATTTGTTGTTCTTAGTTTAATTAAAATTGTTCTAAATTTTTTTGGTAGTACGGCGAAATATTTTTCAAATCCAAATTCTGTTTTGAAGATACTATAAAAGAGGCCTTTAGACGAATCGCGCATATTACTTTGCCACTTCTGTATGTACTGATCTTTAAGACATTGATCAACTATTGCCTTTAGCCATTTAATATTTATAAAGGTCTGTTCATTCCACACATTTGAGAAGCCACAACTATCAAGTAAATTCTTAATACATAAAATCCAAGGGTTCTTATGACTTCCTCTACAAAACTGTACAAATAAATGTCTATATGTAACATAAACAATCTTATTTTCAGGGCTTAACAATAATTTTGCCCAATAGGATATCATTCTCGAATACACTGTTATATACAAAGGGAAGCGACCCGTTTCGCCATGAACCATATAACTGGGAGTACTACTTTTTAGATTAAAAATATAAAATATAACATAGGTATTCAGAGCTTACAGAGCTCATCTCAACAAAAGCTGTCTTGAGAGTAGGTCTAATACTCGCACTACGTCATTTACAAATACATGTAGTAAAATCGGAACCGCACTTCCTTTTTCCGAGATGAGAGTTTTTAACTATATTAGTTTGACTTTTACTAAGCGTTTTAAATATCCGGTAACGATTTTGCTCAAAGTGAAGTCGGTCGCGTCAACAAAGTTTACAAACACATATTCTACAGTTTAAGGATAAATTAATTGTAAAGAGAAGGCTGGGAACAACTTTCGGTTGACAGAAATACTTAGGTAATAAAACAATATTTCTGTGAATGATGCATGTGTTATATGCCGCGCCGAATACACGGACCTTATACATGCTATATCAGAACATGTATCAAACTATCGAGGCGACTATTGTCGGTGGCCAAGTTGAAGCTAATAGTGATAATTCGGAAAAATAGTAATGACTACGATTTGACTTAGAAAATTTATGGATTTTACTGATCAAACATTACAAAATTTACTTTAAATAATAATAATTGCATAAAACACATACCCCCCCAACCTGCTTACCCATGATTCCCAATGCAAAATTATCTTTTGAATAAGTATTTGACAAAAGTTGATTCACTTGCAGCATACTTTGTTACTTTCTGTAACAAAATCGTCCAGTTTCTGAGAATCAGTAAATTACTTTCATTTTCATCGTCTCCAATTTAAGGGGGATGTACAAGCCAATTGGATCTAGTCTGGTGTGAAATTAGAAATTCCAAGAATGCGCTTAATACTCTTCTAAACTAGCCCAAAGTTACTCAAAGTGTTAATGTACTAGTTACCTACTGTTAGAGACCAAAATTAGTAAATAATTAAGTTTATTACCTAATCAAGTGATTTTTGTTGTTTTATTAGAGATTTAATATTTTCATCTATTCTGTATGTGTTTTCAGTTTTTCTTATCTTTTCATATTGATCTATTGACCGGTCAATAGAACGCATGTTCTATTGACCGGTCAATAGAACACACGTCAATTGAACACGCGTTCTATTGACCGGTCAATAGAACACGCGTTCAATTGACCGGTCAATAGACTGCAACGTATTTCGGAAAAAACGATCCTGGTTTCGAATTTAGTTGTTTGTAACATTTCACAGACTTGGTAAACAATCATCTTATTTAATCTTTCGACATTGGTTTTAAAAATTGTATGATTTCAATGGTTGGATAATTTATTTATTGAGAGTCACACTAATTAATAAACTGTGGGACGTGGAGACTGGAGACCAGTCCTTCGGGTGAGACTTTTAAGTAGGTGCACATGCACTAGCATGAAAAAGGTCCCTCTCCACCGGCAAGTGGTGGCATCTCCATAAGAGTGAAAACATTTTCGAGAGGAATGTAAACAATAGTCTATACAATCAATCTTTACTTTAATATTAATATAACAGATGCACCATATCTAGCTATAAATTTACAATACTATACTGTACAGAAACCTTCTGTACTGAATATACAACTGTGAAAATGTACTTAATACGGAAAATAAAATTAGGTAATAAAACAATTATTCAATGCCTGAGCAGTCAATAGACCAGAAAATTTTTCCCTCGGTGCAGGGAACAGCTCAGTGTGTTCTATTGCCCTCGGCCACTGGCCTCGGGCAATAGAACACACTGAGCTCTTCCCTGCACCTCGGGAAAAATATTCCGGTCGATTGACTGCTCAGGCATTGAATAATTGTATAATATAAATACATGCATATGATTCATATATATCTTAAATAAGACATATAATTGTTTATTACCTAATCAAGTGAATTTTGTTGTTTTATTAGAGATTTAATATTTTCATCTATTCTGGATGTGTTTTCAGTTTTACTTATCTTTTCAAACCTATCTATTGACCGGTCAATAGAATGCGCGTTCTATTGACCGGTGACGTATTTCGTCAAAAACGATCCGGGTTTCGAATTTAGTTGTTTGTAACACTGGACAGACATGGCAAACAATCATCTTATTCGATCTTTCTGCATTGGTTTTAAAAATTGTGTGATTTCAATGGTCGGATATTTTATTTAATGAGAGTTACTTTTCATTAATACACTGTGGGATGTGGAGACTGGTCCTTCGGGTGAGACCTATCAACCGAGGTCCCGTGTAGCAGTAGGTGCTCTGCTGGCACGGAAAAGGTCCCTCTCCACCGGGAAGTGGTGGCATCTCCATAAGAGTGAAAAATTTTTGAGAGGAATTTAAACAAGTCTATACAATCAATCTTTAATTAATATTACAGATGCACCATATCTAGGTAAAAATAAACAATATGGTACGGGAACCTTATGTACTGAATATACAATTGTGAACACTTAATATGGAAAATAAAATTAGGTAATAAAACAATTATTTAATGCCTGAACAGTCAATAGACCAGAAAATTTTTCCCGAGGTGCAGGGATCAGCTCAGTGTGTTCTATTGCCCTCGGCCGCTGGCCTCGGGCAATAGAACACACTGAGCTGTTCCCTGCACCTCGGGAAAAATATTCTGGTCTATTGACTGCTCAGGCATTAAATAATTGTATATTATTTTGTTTTAATTAGGAGGAAATTAATCATGGTAGAACTGCGCAGCTACAGCATTCACGAGATGAAAAATGCATTGAAAATGGTGTTAGTTTGAACAAATTCTTATTCGTTACTTCAAAGGCATTTTTAAGATATACCATAAATATTTTAGTCGTTTGTTGAATGAGTTCCACTAACACAACCATTTTTCGTCACAAGTACTTGTATAATGACTTCATTTTCACATTGTGAGCAAAACTTTATTCAGCATATGCTATTTATAGAACTTGAATATGCACCAAATTTGTTTCTAATCTAAATTGTGGTTTTGTAGATATATAGTTCGAGAACTTTTTGATCACCCCTCGTACTAGTTGATACTAACACAAGGTTTTTCATATCGATTTTATGTATTTAATTTCTTTGTGTTTCATTGGTGATAATTAATTTTTTGATAGATATTATAAGTTATCTGTGGCAAACTTACAAACTCTTAATTTTAAACTTTAATGGTGCTCATTTTTCTTACCTGGAATCAAAGAGTTTATTTCAATACGTACTATATATAACAACTTTTCGATATTCGATATTAATACTAAATAAATTACTTCAATTTAAGCCATACAATAACACCTTTCCTCTTTTAAAAGTGTTCATATTATTTGAAATATTTTGCAACTGTAATTCTCTTCTACATTTAAAGATTGTTATGTCCCTCCATATTAAGAAGAGGTCTGGAAAACAAAATTCTGTGCTAAAAATAGACCACGTGCTGCTATCAATGAACTACTTTCAGGGTTCTTTACACTCTTTTTGAAGACAATGATATCTTGTTTTAAAAGTGCAAAATTTAGACATTTTCTCAACAAATGGTTGTAGAGAGAATATTAATGCACAGTTTGCATATTTTTTTGGATTTTTTAAGGTTCTGCTGAATTCTGTAGCTGCGCAGTTCTAAGGAGCATTTCAAAAGCATTTTTCTGCAAAAGTATAGATTACATATGCACAGCATGCATTCAGTTATGCATATTTATTGTATCTTTATCATAAGGGTTTAAAATTTGATCAAAATATAATGTACTTTAGCCATTTCAAGAAATGTTAACATTTTGCTCTCTCTGCACTAAAGGTGGCCGTACATCCACCTTAAAGACAAGTGTGTTTTTTTTTTTTTTTTTTTTTTTTTGAGTAAAATAAGATACATTTTAGGGACAATAGGTTTTTAATGTGTATAATTATTGTTTTAAATAATGTACAACCTTGTTAATAAAAGTATACACTCAAACATTAACAGTATTACAGAAATATGTGGCAATGTATTACTTCTGGAAGAAAGAAAATAGGGGGGTCCCTTTAGTGTAGAGCTCACACCACGTATAGAAATGCGTCGACATATAATTTTTTAAGCTTATTATTTTTCTTAAATTTAAATTAAGAAAAAAAAATGCAAATTTACAAAGTTTGAGTCCATAATTTTTTTTAAATGACCGAGATTGTCTTGTGAAGCATATTTTTTCACATTTAATTTTGATACAATAGCTTATAATAATTCATGCAAAACAATGATATTTTATTGTTAAATAACATGTTTCTACTCTATTTTGGGTATTAAAATTGAATATTTAGACTTAAATTAATTTATAAACAAGAAAATCTAGGATACGTAAAATTTCAGTATTTTACATTTCGGGGTATATACTCCGATAGGCTATAGCGGAAAAGTGAACATGTTGACATATAATTTTTCTTGTGTCTATCCATTGCTGGGATGTAATTGTCTATTTTATAAAAGCAGATTTTTAAAGATTGAGCCCATTTAGTGCCAAGTATAGAACTACCTTAAGTGAGACAAAATCACAAAATTAACCAAATGCAAAATTTGTGCAATTTTGATATGATACTTTGGAATTAGGGATGTCAATTTTACTCGAACAGCTTAGTCGAATAATCGGATGCTTTAGTCGAACGATAGTCGAATATTCGTTTAATTTTAATTATTTTTTCGTACCAGTTTTACTGTTTATCCTTTACAGAGTAGTTTACAATATTTAACCTAGACGATATCACCGATATACTAGTACAACGAATTTCCTAATTGTAAACATGTAAGTAGTCCAATAAAAATTGTACATCAATATGTATCAAATGTATTTAATATCAAAATCAATATATTAGCTGCAAGTTTAATCTAAATGCAGGATACCAAACGCCCGTATTTATTCTTTCTTTACATAACGACAGTACATGTACCCCATAATTGAAGCCAATTATTACATGCCTGTCAATGATCTTTGACAGGTAAACAATTAAAACGCATCTGTTATAAAAACAAAAAGAGAGCTAGAGCTTGGGATAAATTTAAATTATGATATTTTGTACAAACAATCAATGATTGTAAGAAATTAATATCAGAAAATGAAAACACGGTTTAAGTACTCTCATATCAACTGACCCCGATTTATATGTATTTACGATTTTGTAATAGCTGTTTACTAGTAATTAATATTTTTTTCTGAATAGACTTGTTTGTCGACGTACAAATAATTTCCTTTGAACAGTTAAACCATACCCTTAATTTTTCATTTGAAAATAATGATCTTTAAATAAATGAAATGGGTAAATATAAGTTTATTGCCTTGAATTCAAAATTACTTTGATAAAAAACATTTTTAACGAATAATCGAATAAAGAAATTTTAGTCGATAGTCAATATGATCGAACGATAGTCGAGTACTCGATTATTCGTTGACATCCCTATTTGGAATAGATCTATATCAAAAACTTCAAACTAGTTCTTCATCACAAAAATGTGATTAAAATCCAACATCTGAAGCAAGTTTGAGAGTGTTCATCCCTTCATGCATCATTTAGACAAGTTTGGTTTATATAAACCTTGTAGTTTCTTAGTAATAGACCTGCACCCATAACTTTTACCCATTACCGGTCCATTATCTGGAAAATGTATGTCGAATTCAGCATCGGGAGCAAGTCCATTAGTGTGCATCCTAAGATGTATCATCCATGTGAGTTTGCACAACACAGGTTTAATAGTTACTTAGAAATGAGACCTGCACCAAACACTCAAACAGAAAAAAAATTTAAGTCAGATTCAGCATTCGAAGTCAGCCAAGTAGAATGCAAACTTAGATGTATCAACCATGCAAGTTTGGTCAACATAGGGTTTATAGTTACTTGAAAATGAGTCCTGCACCAACAACATTAACCTGTTCACTCAACCGGAAAATGTAGGTCAGATTTAGCATCCGAAGTAAGTCTGGTAGTGTACATCCTTAGATGTATCAACTTTCCTGAAAATAAGACCTGCAACAAAAACATTAACCTGCTTACTCAACCAGAAATGTAGGTCAGATTCAGTATCTGAAGCAAGTCTGGTATTTTACATCCTCAGATTATCATCCATGCAAGTTGGTCAACATAGGGCTTATAGTTACTTGAAACTGAGACCTACACCAAAATCTGCACCAAAAATGTTATCCTGCTCCAAAAACATTAACCTGGTCATTCCTTTGCTGAAATTGCAGCAACTGAAACTTTGACTGGTACAATGAAACACACTAGAAGCATATCCCATGCATGTCTAATCAATATATGACATAGAAGTACTTAAAAAGAAAACTGCTCCAAAAGACTTACAGAACTTGAACTTATATCCGCACTTGTTTTCCTTTTAAAAGTTCCCTCTGTCAACTGATCAGGTAGGTTAGATGCCATTATAATATCTACAAAATTAAAAAAATATATTAATTACAAGAGGCCCATCAGCCACATCACTCACCTGTGAAGCTTTGACCGTGCTATTCTTAACCAGAAACAAGTTGAACTAAACACATGTCTCTAATTGAACCAAGAAAAAGAAAAACGAAATTTATGTACATATCTAGGAATCTTGGAAAAAAACTTTCATTCTACATAAAATAAAGTGATTGATAACAGTGTAGGCCTAACTTCACATTTAAAACATATTTCAGTAGTTATTTAATTAAGAGGAGGAAAAATAACTTCAAAACTGAAATTGGTATACTTTCAAATTTAGCAGAAACTGAAAAGGCTTTAAAAAAATGCACACTTACTTCAGGTCAATACTAATACATGAAACCTTCAATTTTCATTTTTTTTGCTTGTAAATCTAAATTAAATTATGTATAAATTTTTAGCATAGTCATTGACAGTAAATTAAATCCCTTTTCAATAAAAGAATTCTCAATACACAAATACTTTGCATATATATGTATAAAATTTTTATTTTATCATGGTTAATATGTCATGAATGTCGTTACGCGTTATTATACAATTATGGACTCTTTTGATGTTGAATATGGTTTGTTATTCACCAGAAAAATATCCATATTGACCGAGGTGGAGCCGAGGTCAATATGGATATTTTTCTGGTGAATAACAAACCATATTCAACACCAAAAGAGTCCATAATTGTTTTATTATATACTGTAATATCACATATTTTCGTAGGGTCAAGTTTTAGTGGTTTGAGGAAAAAATGTTGGTTCGTTGAGATTTGATTTCGTGGATGAAAAACTTTTTAGCAGTTGTGCATATAAAAATTTACACTTCGTGGTGGACATAAATTCGTGGGTCTCTTCATACCACGAAAACAACGAAAATTAACTCCCCACGAAAATTAGTGATTTCACGGTAGTCAGAATTTGAATAGTTAAGACATTGAAGGCTGTATGACGACACCATTTTCATTTGCGATCTTCCCTTGTTGAAAATAAAAAAAAAAATCTCCAGATTACTGTTTGTAGCCTCGGTGTTTTCCTTTCCAAGTTTTGCTATGTGTAAGACGTCCAGATGTTAAAAAATAATCCTGAAATAGGTTTGAATAATTGTTTTCCTGCACAGATATGTAGCTCGCTGTGGCCGTTGCAACCATCGTTTACACGTTGTTTGATATTTTAATTGTGACGTCATAATGCCGTTGCACGCGCATTGACCCACCGGTAAATATGGCCTCAAAGCCGGTGAATATGTAGTGTTATGAATTGTTTGCGTTTGTATAGATTATATAGGGACTATAAATAGACTATATAATAAGACCAGATGTTTTACTTTCCAAATCTGGTCATGACCAGATTTTTACATGCTGGAGGTTGGCAAGTATGAAGAGGGATGTGAATTGCATGATATGTGAAAATCAAAACATTTCATCATTTATTTCTTTTTAATTTCTCAATTCCTTTGTTTATTGTGGAGTTTTAGTAAGTAATTGTATATAAAAACATGAAAAATGGTCCATATCTTGAAAGTGCTCTCAATTGACTACAATATAGGCAAGGTAACAAAGTTTCGTTCTAATTTTTCTTAGCATAATACATGATAATACAAGTTTACAAATTTGTTTCCAAGAATTAAAATTTTTATCATTCTGTTTTCGTAATATCCAGCTAAAAAAGGCCTCGTTTAATCAACAAGTAATTAATATACTGATATTCTTAATAAATGTAGAATCTTCTTTGAGGTATAATTCTACAATAACCTACCAACCGATTTAATTTGTTAAGTTCGCAAGAATAGAGGGCACTTGATTTGATACTGAAAATCAATCTTAAACTAGGAAAATAAGGGGTGTCATTTTTTACAACCCTGTGCCTGTACCATTCATATTTTGGAAATTTTAATACCACCTATTTAACAGGTTAGGCACAGTTCCTTTTTCGGGGAAGTAGTACAAATTTTAAAACAACAAAGAAAAATTGGTAATTCAAAAATGTGTGCGTGTGTGTAAAACGTAACAAGAAACTGATTCGTTAGTGGTAAAATGACTGTACGATACATGTAACTATCCTTACCTTTAGAGGTAAACTTAATCAAATCGTCTCACACGTTTCCAATCACCATTCCTTTGTTGGGCTACCGCGTGGCTTTAGTCTGTTAGTAAGGAAGTCGAGTAAAACTGAAAATCCCCTTACTAGCTGACAAAGCACTACAATAACTGGAACAATTAATAATTGGTTTTTATCAATTTTGACATTTTCCGGCTCAATGAATCCTTTTATCTAACATGTATATAATAATGATATGGTGTACCATAGTAGTGGATCTCCATTATCGTAAATGGGGGTTTTGAAATATGCTGTATACCACGCCCGATCTTTTTTCTAACCTCAAGTGTATTTTGGATAAGTGCATGTATATTCATAAAGTTTGTGTAACTCAAAACAGCAGAGAAAATAGGGCGTCAGTTTGCATCTTACTTCACTACTGTACAATTCAGCTGACCCTTTTTGCACTTAATTAGATTTAAACTCATATATTTATCACTTTACCCTTAATCCATCGTCTGAAGCCAGAATGGGAGAGGATCGTACATTTTGGCCGTGGTTTGCGACGATGCCCTTAATTATATTCTATCAATAAAACTATGACTGTAATTGTAATTTTACTTTATGTAAAACAGTTAAATAAGTGTATATTATATTTATTATTGAACAAATATTGTAAATTAATGAGCATCAATTATTGTGTAAACTTTTTGCACAAAAAGTAACATATTTGAGGCATTAAAAATCCAAATAGGCAATAAAATGTATTTTTGTATTAAACTTTTTTGTGTTAAGTCCTGATCAGTCACTGAAGAATTAAGTAGTTTAAATTAACAAAAGAAAAAGTTGGGGGCAGTTTTGAAATATTGGTCAAAATATATGCAATTTACAGGTAAAAAATATATATCTTCATTTCTTGGCAAAGTAAAAATTGTTTAGGGAAGGTGTAAAACTTGTTCTAACAAGAGGCTCATGGGCCTTATAGGTATAACTTAACAATTGCTTAGTTTGTTTACTTAATACCCATACATGTGTAGGTAGGGAAGAGTGACAAAACATGCATTTCAACTATAATCAGTAATATTCACCAATAATCAGAAGTGCCCCTGACCCTAGTTCTACACATTGCACAATGTTTGATTAATATCAAGAAGAAAATTTCAAACCATTCATTTTCAGTATATAAGTAGAGCCCCCCCCCCTTGGTATCCCTGACCCAGGGGCCTTGAAATTCAAAATTCTATAAGAAGTGTCCTTGCACGTCATTACTATGAACTTAGTTAGTTTATTTAATGCCCAGGAGCAGAGAAGTTTTTCAAAGAATAAGTGCATTTTCACTATATAATCAATTGAGTCCTGCCCTAACACCAGAACCCCTGACCCTGGGGCCATAAAATTCACAATTTGGGTAGAGGCACTCTTGCTCATCATAACTATGTACTTAGTTAGTTTATTTAATACCCAGAGCAGAGAAGAAAATTTTCAAAGAAATAATGCATTTTCACTATATAAGCAATAGAGCCCTGCCCTAACTCCAGAACCCCTGATCCTGGGGCCACAAAATTCACAATTATAAGCTGTCTAGCTGTCTGTTTTCGACTTCTTCTCAAGAACCGCTTGGCCAATTTCAACCAAACTTGCCACAAAGCATCCTTCGGTGAAGGAAATTCAAGTTTGTTCAAATGAGGGGCGGCGCCCTCATTCAAGGGGAGATAATTGGGAATTAATGAAAATTTGGTGGTATACATGTAGTTTAAAATCTTCTTCTCAAGAACCACTGTGCCAGGAGAGATGAAACTTATAGGGAAGCATCTTCAGGTAGTGAAGATTCAAGTTTGTTCAAATCTTGACCCCCGGGGGTAGGGTAGGGCCACAATGGCCGACCAAAGTTTTACATAGAAAAATATAGAAATTCTTTAAAAATCTTCTCAAGAATGACAAAGCCATAATTGATCATATTTATATGGAAGCATTCTCAGGTAGTGTATATTCAAGTTTGTTCAAATCATGACCCGGGGGTAGGAAGGGGGCCCAATGGCTGACCTTATAATATGAGAAAATTCTTTAAAAATCTTCTTCTCTAGAATAGCAAATCCACAATTGATCATATTTATATGGAAGCATCCTCAGGTAGGGTAGATTCAAGTTTGTTCAAATCATGACCCCCGGGGGTAGGGACGGGCCAAAATGGCCTATCAAATTTTAATATAGAAATATAAAGGAATTTTTTAAAAATCTTCTCAAGAATTGCAAAGCCATAATTGGTCATACATGTATTCATATGGAAGCATCCTCAAGTTTTGTAGATTCATTTTTGTTAAAATCATGACCCTTGGGATAGGACGGGGCAAAAATGGCTGATCAAAGTTTTAAATAGAAAGTTATAGGAAAATTCTTTTAAATTTTCTTATCAAGAATAGGCCTAGCTAGGAAAGCCATAATTGATCATACTTATATGGAAGCAGCTTCAGGTAGTGTTATTTCAAGTTTGTTCAAATCATGACCCCGGGGGTAGGGCGGGCCACAACGGACGATCAAATTTAACATAGATTGAAATATACAGGAATTTAAAAAAAAATCTTCTTATCAAGAATAGCAAAGTCATAATTGATCTTATTTATACGGAAGCATCCTCAGGTAGCATAGATTCAAGTTTGTACCAATCATGACCCTGGGAAATAGGGCAGAGCCACAATGGCCAATCAAAGTATAACATAGAAATATATAGAAAAATTCTTTAAAAATCTTCTTCTTAAGAATAACAAAGCCATAATTGATCATATTTATATGGGAGCATCCTCAGGTAGTGTAGATTCAAGTTTGTTCAAACCATGACCCCCAGTGGTAGGGTGGGGCCACAATGGCCAATCAAAGTTTCACTTAGACATATAGGAAAATTGTTTAAAAATGATTCTATCAAGAATAGCAAAGCTTTTTGAGGCTGCCATACAATCCATTATTTTGTATGGCGTAGGAATACTTTATGCCGCAAAGAAACGTATACAAGATGAATATCGATAAAATCCAACTTAAATTGTCAAAACATTGATCAATAAGTAAACTTATAAAAACTCATTGAATGTTGTTTAATTCTCCAGAATAATTCGTCCTCAATCATGGCCATGTTGACATTAATGACAACGTCATAGCGAAAGTTGCAGACCGACGACATCCTCGATTTGCTGTGGTTTGTTCAAAGATTTAGAGAGAATATGAGATCTGTAGGATGTAAATAAACCAGTATGAATTTGATGCTGAAAATACAAGAGTCTGAGGTAAGTTTCTTTTCCCTATTACAACGATACCAACTGAGCTGATAGTCCTATGGAATGTTGAGAAAATGACAGCTTGATCAGCGATTTTTTAACATTCACACTCGTGATCCAACAGTGACATAAACATAATATTCCTGTCTGTCAGTCCTGTTTATCTCCTTTTCATTCATTTATTATTTCAAGTTTAATTTCTTGTAATCATAATTTAGCTAAAACGGACTAGGAAGTATCTGTTTTCATTGTTTTTACAACAGTAAAAAAAGTAGTTCTGATTGAAAATCATCAATGTGTAAACTTTTTCTTGAATATGTTCTCCTCCAATCAGAACACTGGGAATCAATGAATAAATTAAGATTCGAATTATTCAATAATAAATCAATTTCTACTTTTTCTTAGTCACAGTCCTCAGGTGAGCGATGTGGCCCACGGGCCTCTTGTGTAAAGATATTTCCCGCATGCAACTTTGATCCTGTTTCATGGACCCATCCTACCCTAGCTTAAGGAGAAAAATATCAAAAAACACAGCAAAGACAAAGGAAGGCTTTTGAGAATTTTGAATTTGTATCATATCAAAATAATTCATTTAACTTATCAAACAAATTCTTTACAATTTTGCAATGGTTGAGTATTGATGCAGTATTCTAATTTCATGATACAATATAATAAGAAACTTAAAGGTTGATCACTCTTGCATACATTTTCAATTCTAATTGGAACCAGAAGTCTCTGTCGAGACTGAAGCTCTACTGGTTTGTACTTATAGCAAAGGAAGAGAAAAGTACTTAAGCAGTTGGGAATTGAAACTTTTCTACAGCAATAAATAGAATAATGATCCTTGATTAAGTCTCTTTATGTTCTTAATGTAGTCTACTTGCATGCCACATTATATTATAATCACACTAAAACTGTATTTGGAGTAGCATTTTGAGAGTATTTAACAGAAATTTCTATTTTTAGTAACCACGGCAACACCGTTCATTGAAGTGAAAAACTGATACATAGAATTATGTATCTTAGTGTAGTCTACTTGTGTGCCATGTTATATTGAAATCAGACCAAACTGTAGGAGGAGTAGCATTTTGAAAGAATTTCACACAAATTTCTATTTTTAGTAACCACAGCAACACCGTTCATCGAAATCAGAAATCGATATACAGAATTATGTATCTTAGTGTAGTCTACTTGTGTGCCAAGTTATATTGAAATTAGACCAAAACTGTAGGAGGAGTAGCATTTTGAAAGAATTTCACAGAAATTTCTATTTTTAGTAACCACATCAACACCATTCATCGAAATAAAAAACCAATACACAGAATTATGTATCTTAGTGTAGTCTACTTGTGTGCCAAGTTATATTGAAATCAGACTAAAACTGTAGGAGGAGTAGCATTTTGAAAGAATTTCACACAAATTTCTATTTTTAGTAACCACAGCAACACCGTTCACCGAAATCAAAAACCAATAAATAGAATTATGTATCTTAGTGTAGTCTACTTGTGTGCCAAGTTATATTGAAATCAGACCAAAACTGTAGGAGGAGTAGCATTTTGAAAGAATTTCACAGAAATTTCTATTTTTAGTAACCACATCAACACCATTCATCGAAATAAAAAACCAATACACAGAATTATGTATCTTAGTGTAGTCTACTTGTGTGCCATGTTATATTGAAATCAGACCAAAACTGTAGGAGGAGTAGCATTTTGAAAGAATTTCACAGAAATTTCTATTTTTAGTAACCACAGCAACACCGTTCATCGAAATCAAAAACCAATATATAGAATTATGTATCTTAGTGTAGTCTACTTGTGTGCCAAGTTATATTGAAATCAGACTAAAACTGTAGGAGGAGTAGCATTTTGAAAGAATTTCACAGAAATTTCTATTTTTAGTAACCACGGCAACACCGTTCATCGAAATCAAAAACCGATAAATAGAATTATGTATCTTAGTGTAGTCTACTTGTGTGCCAAGT